GGGGAGGAGGATTGCACTGGGCGTTTATAGACCTGATGTAAATGATGAGTTGATGGGTGCTGACGAGTTGATGGGTGCAGCACAGCAACATGGCACAAGTATACATATGTAACAAACCTGCATGTTATGCACATGTACCCTAGAACTTAAAGTATAATAATAATAATAATAATAAAATTTTAAATAAAATTAAAAATCAAAAATTAAAAAAAAAAAAAAAGAAGTTTCCTGGTTTTGTTGAAGACTTTAAATATACGTCGTTGTAGCTCAGAAGACAGTGCCCCAAGGTAAAAGCTTCGGAAGTCAGTTTTTCTTTGGCCTTCTCCTGGCCTCCTGTCTCTCAGTCCCATTATTCCTCAACACTGGCCATACACACTAGAATCTCCTTCCCCCAAGGCAGAACCTAGAAATCAGAACTCCTTTTTCTCAAAACCAGCCATAAAGCCTAAAAATATTACTCTAATTTGCCCTCTCCCTTTCTGTGTATGAATTAGCCATAAAGAAATTATCCAACCTACCTTGTTGGATCATAGATCATAAGATCCCTATACCCAGAAGGAAGGAGTACATGCTCAGAGAGGTCAAGAGGAATCTAGACAGACAGGCCTTGCTGGGTTTCCCCAGTCTATTAGCGTTAGGTTATGCCTTTTGGTTCAATCATATTTTTATATGTGCCCATACTTTGTTGCATCTAAGCATAAAAAGGACAATTTCCCTTGTGTGTTTGGATCTTTATTCTGAAGACTCCAGAATACACAATCCAAACAAATCTGCATGCCTTCTCTTCAACTGATCTATCTTTTGTGAGCTGATTTTTCTGTAATCCTTCAGAGGGTTTCTGGCCCTCACTCATAGGAAGAAAAGCCAACAGCACAGAATTAAGTTATAATGGAAGAAAACATTGGTTTTTTGAAGCTTTAAGATGAAACACTTCAGCATCAGGCTATAGCAACAGATTTAGACCTGAAGAAAAAAAAGTTGCCAGAGCCAGCAAAAAGTTGAAAGAGAGAGTTAACATCCCAGCTGTTCTCAAATGAAGAAAAGGCTGAAAGCAGCAGGATACACCAGAAGTTGACTTCTGAGATATCAGTCTGAGAAGTTTCAAAAAGAAAAAAATAGCATTAAACATTAAAATTTCTTGGAATTTAATGAAGAGCAATTCAATACTTTAAGAAACCCTTATAGTTCTAACCAATGTTTTGGTTTTGTATTGTGTTTTTTTGGTCAAAGCTCAATTTCCAGAAAGACGACTATAAATAATTCAATTTTAATTAAAGCCAACATAACCACAGACAAAATTTCTTTTATGCATTTGATTATACACATGCCACTTACAACATGACTGGACTTTATGTTGTATCCTAAATTTCACTCTTTCTTAAACAGTCATCTTCAGAAAAAAAAATTTACTATATAAAATTATTTTTCATACAAAATAATTCTCTTTTCTTTTTAATCTCTCTTATCACAAATGCATCTTTATATCTATAACTTTCTTTATATCTGTCTCCCCTACTTACTGGTTCCTTTTTACTTTGTTGCATAAATAACCTTTGAATTAGACAAAAATTATTTTCTTTTTAATGAGAATACATTTTTCTATTTGTCTTATATTTTCTTTTTTCATCAAAAACATGTCTTTCACAGACTTTATACACAGAATTATATATTAAGTGGAAGTTTTATTTTTAGTAACCTTAAACCTAGGAAACACGAAATCCTACACTGCACATCAGGTATCAGCACTTTATAGATGAAATCACTCTACAATGTGTAGGCATGTTTCTCCATATCTCTACTTAATTGGAAATGAGCCAAACTATTAATGAGTACCTATTCTTTAATCCAAAACAAGTTTAAGATTTTAAATTTTATAAAAGTTAACCAACAAGCATTTATCACTCCCATTTATATTTATTCAGTTTATTCATTGTTAGCAGTTTACCTAGATTACTTTGAGAACTGTGACATTAGACAAAACTAGTCACATTTAAAGTTGTTTCCTTGCTAACCATTTTATAGCCTGTGAATATCAGGTGTTCACCCAAGTATAAACCTTAATGTTAAACATATTTGTTTTTCCAGATAGCTCAGGATTTAGTTGTTTTTATGAAACCAATAATATTAAGCTAGTCTTATCTATTAAAAAAATTACAAGCTGGGCGCAGTGGCTCATGCCTGTCATCTCAGCTCTTTGGGAGGCCGAGGTGGGCAGATCATGAGGTCTGGAGTTGGAGACCAGCCTGACCAACATGGTGAAACCCCGTCTCTACTAAAAATACAAAAATTAGCCAGGTGTGGTGGTGCGCAGCTGTAATCCCAGCTACTCATGAGGCTGAGGCAGGAGAATCACTTAAACCCTGGAGGCAGAGGTTGCAGCGAGCCAAGATTATGCCACTGCACTCCAGCCTGGGTGACAGAGCGAGATGCCATCTCAAAAAAAAAAAAAAAAAAAAGGTTTTTAGATTTTAAAGATTGTTTTAAGTTAAATATATGGACAAAACTAAATATTTATGAAAACTTGATCTTGTAAGAGGAATTCTATATGTAAGCCAGCTGGCTAAAATTTGAAAGGAATTATTTAATTTTTGTATAAATTAAACCTTAAAATAAAAAGCACACTAATGCAGGGCCAGAATCTAGGCCCTTATGTCAAAATATCAGGGTTTTGTTAGAGTACTAATATGCTCTTTTATAGAAAACTATAAAATCTCGTAAAAGATTTATAAAAATCTTACCTTGTGTTACAACTAATTAAAATTAAATAGATTTGTTTGTAAGATTTTATTAATGTTAACTTTAGCATTAATAATAAGTTATGCAATGGTAAAATTTAGATTTCTCTTGAATACCATTTTCTTTTAATATTGAGAGATAGTGAAAGATTTTTGCTTACCTTTTGAGAAAAAAAAAAAAGAAGAGGGGTTGAGGAAGAGAGACAAATTTAGTTGGCCTCATGCTGTATTTATTAGGTCTTATTGTTTGTGAAAGTGAGTCTTCTCTCTCAAAGAGTGAAGGTTTTTACTTTTTGAAGTCTTTGAGTTATCACTTTGCTTAAATGAATGACTTATTTTACAATGACCTGTTTGGTGATTGTAATTTGTTTTTCCACCACTATATCTGTCTCTATCTAAATAACTCTAATCAAAATCTCTCCAAAGCGATTACCTTGGCTTTTAATATGTGAAACTTGTTTTAAGTTTCAAAGTGGGGACTGAAGAAAATCAAATTTTCTAAAATCCAATTCTAAATTCAGTCTTGTAGACCTCATTATCTTTTTCAATAGTAAGTCCCCTGCAGCCAAAAACAGACACATTCGGTATATTTGGCATGTTAAAATCATACAGGAAACATTGTCAAATATGAAATGGTGTTCAACTTTATTACAGCTACATTTATGTTAAACCTATTACTAGTATGTTTTTCAAAATCGTGGGATATTCCTATCATTCTGATGTCTTCATATATGTTATTAGTATTTATAATTATTATGTTAAATTGTTATATGCCACAGAAATAACCAAATTTCCTTCTCAAGTGTGTCCTTGATCATGGCTGTCCTAAGACTTCTGTCATTCACAGTTGTTCTCCTTTGATCCTTTTAAAAAGGTGATTTGCAATTAGCTTAGGACTCTAAGGGGTGCTCTTGAATGAAGCTTTATGATAACTTTGGAGACTGTGCCACTGGTATAGAGAAAAAAAAAACTCCCAGGACTCTGATGGAGACTAATATATTCATGAGGATTGCTGACCCAATATCTAACAGAATAGGAGTTAACTGCATGGACAGAACTAATAGAAGACTGAAATAACCTTTTCATGGGTTTTGTTGAAACATTGCTACTTTTGTTTGTTTTTCAGAGTCAAGAAAATTTTTTTCTTTTTAGATATTTACAGCCTTTAATATTTGTGTAAAGTATACTCTTATGGGCAAAATTTGAAGCATATTTCCTTTTATCTGCCTGATTTCTCTGAAATTTGGAAACTCAGTGATTATTGCTAATTTATGGGAATATAATTATTTGCATAAATTCAATTAGAATCTGTTCTCTTTTTTAACAGGACACAAGTGGAGACAAAAGTCAAGGATTTGACTGGAATGGCATATTTTTAAGAAACTGACATTGACTTTACAAAGCTGATAATAGGCCTGTGGATAAAACTGGCCTCACACCTTGTCTATGCAGTTCCATTACAGGGTCCTTCACAGGTTTCTGGCCTGTAATGGGTAAAAGAAGGTCACATTCTGATAGGCCCAGGAACCCCAAGTTATTTTGGAATCTTGAGAGAGAATTCACTCAATTCATACAGGTATCTCGTAGAAACAGATAAATCCTTAGTTGGGCTCAGGATGCTTTTAAGAGGTCTAACCTGAGATTCTTTACAAAAAAGAATGTTCCAGCAAAGCCATTTTTTAAAAAGGACCCTATACAGTGCATATCTATTCTTGCTGCACTTGATGCAAATAATCAGACCAAGTATAGTAACAAAACCTATTTTGCAAATAAATCAGTTCTACTATGTCTTTCATAAAATTGAAGAATTGGAAGCAGAAAAATTATACTTCAAAAACTGTAGTATATCTTATTATCTTATTATCTTCTGGCCTTGTCCATTGTTTTTTCAGTTTTTATTATTTTTTACAATTTAGACCAAATCCTGAATTTTTTCCTGGCTATAAGTCTCCAAAGTAACATTTTCAATGTTTTCTCCCATTTTTCTTACTTGAATTCACTAGAAATTAAAACTGGGGTTTTCTTAAAGTCTTGCAAAGTGAAGGTATCTGGAGAAAATAACAGTAACTTATAAACAACCTTCATGTACACCTGCTGATGCGAGGTCTTCTCAGAAAGTTCACTTGAACACCTGGTTTGAACTTCCAGAAAAATCTGGAAGATTGCCACTGCAATATGAAGATGCCTCAGAGATTGTAGAAAAGCTAGTCTATAGATAGACTACTCCAGATATTAACCTTTATTATTTTTTTCTGTTTCTATAGAAATGCCTCCTACTAGAAATCTGATTGCCCACATTATGTCTAGAGGCCTAAACCATTTGCAGTGCCACCTCCTGAAATGGGACATAGCTATTTAACTGAAATGATCTCGCCTCAAAACCAAGAGACTGCCTAAAGAAGATATGGTATGATATATTTAAATTTGCTCATTTATATTTATCCTGAATTTGTTTTTCCACTGCTGTGACTGTCTCTATCTAAATACTTCTAACCCAAATCTCTCCAAAGCTATTACCTTGGCTTTTAGTATGTGAAACTTGTTTTAAATTTCAAAGTGGAGACTGAAGAAAATCAAAATATTTTACCCTCTAATATATTTCTTTGACATATTTAAAAATGGTTGCCACTGGCCAACAAGCAGAAGTAGCATTGCAAAACTGTCTTAACTGAGGAAAATTTGCGTCTATGGACAATGTCCATTAATGCAGCCATGCCCCCTCCCCTTTCTAAGCCTTTCCCAGGATCCAGAGAGATTGAGAGTCTGACACCTTTAAAGATCTGGATAGAAACATTTACCATCTATTGTTTATGAGAAAAGGTTCGTCTACATAACAAGGGCACCTTTGCTAGCCAAGTTTCTTCCTTCCTCTCTTTCTTAACCTGTGTTGCCAGTAAAACTAATTTACCTGTTTCTGGCCATGCTTTGAGTCTCCACTCTTTACTGTGGCCTCACAATAGTACATGAATTTCTGTAACTTATTGGGAAGTTGGGTCTTCATTCTCATGTTTCCCGAGTGTGGTGGTTAATACTGAGTGTCAACTTGATTGGACTGAAGGATGCAAAGTATTGTTCCTGGGTGTGTCTGTGAGGGTGTTGCCAAAGGAAATTAACATTTGAGTCAGTGGACTGGGAAAAGGAGACCCACCCTCATTCTGGGTGGGCACAATCTAATCAGCTGCCAGCACAGCCAGAATGAAAGCAGGCAGAAGAATGTGGAAAGACTAGACTGGCTTAGTCTTCCAGCCTACATCTTTCTCCTGTGCTGGATGCTTCCTGCCCTTGAACATCATACTCCAAGTTCTTCAGCTTTTTGACTCTTGGACCTTGGACAACAGACTGAAGGCTTCACTGTTGGCTTCCCTACTTTTGAGGTTTTGGGACTCGGACTGGCTTCCTTGCTCCTCAGCTTGCAGATGGCTTACTGTGGGACTTCACCTTGTGATCATGTGACTCACTACTCCTTAATAAACTCCTCTTTATATATACATCAATCCTATTAGTTCTGGCCCTCTAAAGGGCCCTAGCTAATAGACCATGTATATATATTAAATAAATTTGTATTCCCTTTCCCCTATTAATCAATCTGTCCCATGTGAGTGATTTTTAGTGAAGCTTTAGGGGGCCAACAGCCTATGGCCACCACATAAGGTATACATTGGCTCTGCCTGAAAATCTGATACATCTTGAAGTAGGAGAGTTTATAGGACAAAGGTGGATTCAAAGATTTTCTGATTGGCAATTGGTTGAAAGAGTTAAGCTTTGTCTGAAGACTTGCAATCAGTATGTGGCAGGACAGGCCATAGACAAAACCCCTCAGATGCAGAGTTAAAGAAGGAAGGGCTTTATTCAGTTGGGAGCTTTGGCAAGACTCCCGTCTCCAACAACTGAGCTCCCTGAGTGAGCAATTCCTGTCCCTTTTAAGGGCTCGCAACTCTAAGGAGGTCCGTGTGAGAGGGTCATGATCGATTGAGCAAGCAGGGGGTAAGTGACTGGGGGCTACATGCACCAGTAATTAGAATGGAACAAAACAGGGCAGGAATTTTCACAGTGCTTTTCTATAATCTGTAATCTATAGATAACATAACCAATTAGGTCAGGGATCAATCTTTAACTACCAGGTCCAGGGTGTGGCACCAGGCTGTCTGCTTGTGGATTTCATTTCTGCCTTTTAGTTTTTACTCCTTTCTTTGGAGGCAGAAATTGGGCAAAAGACAATATGAGGGATAGTCTCCTCCCTGAAGTATAATGAAATGCTTGAGTTAAAGGGGGTTGTGGGAACCATGGTTCATGTCATATAGATGAAACCTCCAGCCAGCAGCCTTAGAGAAAACAGATGGTAAATATCTCTTCTCAAATTTTTAAGGTGGCAGACTCTCATTTAATCTCTCCTCAATCAGAGCAGAGCCAGAAACAGGCAAATTTCCCCCACAAAAGATGATTTTGCAAGATCATTTCAATATATGTCAAAGAAATATAATTTGAGGATTAAATATACTGATTTCCTTCAAAGTCTGCTATTGTCATGTGATGCCAAACCAGAGTCATATTGGAATTTGGTATCTTACTCCCACAAAGAGTCCATTTTGCCAGTCTTATGATCACTATTTCAATGTTAATGCTGGTCAGTTGTGCCTGAACTCCGAAAGGGAGTGTGTATAATGAGGTGTGTCTGACCTCCCTTTCCACTATGGCCTAGAATTTAGTTTTCCAAGTTTCTCTGGGGTCGCCTAGGACAAGAGGGGATCCATTCAGTCAGTAGGAGGACTTGATTTTATTTTTGATTTATACCCCAATTTCAAAGTACACTGCAAATTACTTTCAAAGTTCTACTTACTTTGGCCAGCAACCAGGAACTAGGCTGAATGCAATCCTCTTGCTTCCAAGGTCTGTAATAAAGTGATCTCCCTTCCAAAGTCTGCAAGGGAAGTGATCTCACTGGAATTCCGTATCACCTTGACCCCAGAGTCTAGTTAGGATCACCTCAGGGATCTCTGGGAAATGTAGTTGCAGGGCCTCAGGTTGCCTCAGTGAATCTCTTACGCAAATCTTTTCATTAAAAATGGTATGGATAATTATATTATCTGATGACACCCATGCCACAGGCTAGGAGAGCTTTGCCCTTGTATTTCACCTAGTTCTTGCTCTCTGGAAGTCTGATGCCAGACTTCCCATGTGTGATATGGAAGGTGAGAGCTTGAAACAGGTCAAGGGGAAAAGCAGAACCAGTAACTTAGAAGAGGCAGAAGAGGAAGATGAAAGGTTTTAGTCACACTCTCAGATTATGGCACTCTTTCTTCATCAATTCCTATAAGGCCTCTCGTTTTCTTCTGCCTCTTTTCATATCTCATCCTCACTCTCATTCGCTTCTTTACCCAAAGGTACCACACAATGTGTCTGAAATAACTCGATGCATGTGGCATAAGTGTCACATGTATCGTATGACTTTGTTGCTGCTTTTTAATTTACATTAATACGAATGTAAATTTTTATTTACATTAATATAAAATATTAACATTGTATATAATGTTTTTGACACATAACAGCTGTATATATTTATTTGGTAGAGTGTGATGTTCTGATTCATGCATACATTGTGTAAAGATCAAATCCTGGTAATTAGCATATCTGTCACCTCAAACATTTATCATCGCTTTGTCATGAGAACATTCAAAATCCTTCCTTTTTTTCTAGCTTCCATACCCTTTTCTCTCCAGTCTCCAGTAACAACTCTTAACTTTCTACTACTCTAACTATTCTACTCTTAACTTCTATGAGATCAGTTATTTTAGATTCCACATATGAGTGAGATCTGTAGTTTTCATGAGGTAATTGTTGCCTTCAGCACCTACTGTTCCACTACATACCTCTGGTGTCCTGCCACATGAACTTGGGACTCTCTGTGGGAAGGCTTTCTTTTGGCCTGTGCTTGGGCAGATGAACTGCAAATTAATGCACCTGGGACCACCACTCAGCCTAGAAGACAGGAATTGGAGAGTAAATATCCTTGTTTTCTACATGCTAAGGTGGGATTACTCTTAGGCATGTACAAAACTGCCTCCTGGTGTTGTCTACTGGGATTATGCTCCCTTTCTTCACAGGCAACCTGCCAACAATGCACCTTTTTATTGTTTCTCAAGGTGTACTGGGTTCACTGTTTCACTCCCGCACTGGTGATTCCTTAAATCATCTTCTAAATCAAAATAAGCCACTGGAATACAAATCTTTGTCTTGGGGCCTGGTTTTAGAGAAACCCAACCTAAGTCTTTTTAATTTACCAGTTCCACTTGTGAAGGACATTTGATTGCCTCCTCCTCCTGGTTATTATCAACACTGATGTGATGAATACCTTTCTAGACACCCCCTGTAGATTAGCAGAGCATCACTGGGATATACGTATTAGGAAAGGGATCTGTGGAGGGGCAGATCATAGATGTACTTTATTTTTCTTTTGGCACTGCCAGATTTCTTTCCTTTTGTGTAGAAGAATTCCTACTTTCCTCATATCCTGATTGACACTTGGTGTTAGTCACCTTCAAACGTTTGACAGTTTTATGTATCTAAGATGATAGCTCAGGGTTCTTTTCATTTTCACTTCTCTGATTCCCAGTGAATAGGGGTGAATAGGTTCTTCACATACCTATTGACCCTTCACATTTCCATTTGTGAGTTAAATGGCAAGGTTTTAAGAAAGAACTCCTGCCAAATTAGTCAGGACACACAGGCGAAGAGAGATGGATTAAAATTCAGATCTTGCTGGAAAACCTTTAGCCAAGATGGGGATGAGACGGGCAGAGGAAGTAATTCCAGCATGTAGGATTGTGATCTGGACCATTTTTGACGCAGTATGGGAGAGGAATTTTCAATGGATTATGGTCATTTTTCTCCTTGATTGTCGGAAACTTGATGCCTGGAATTAAAATGTTACCATCCAGATTGGCACATGTATAATTCTGAGATTGCCTCTAATTATTGTCATTGTGACTGAAATTCTTCAGGATGTCCAGCAAGAATCGTCATGGGAAACTATGAGATGAGGAGACTTGTGACTAAGGGAGAGTAAGACCAGAGTCAAGAATCCTGGTGTCTAAGGGCAGAAACACCTGAGGCTGGGGGTTTGAGATGTCTGAGAGCTTGACAATACCCTACAGCCTCCCACACGGTGCTCATCAAGACTCAAGCCAAAATTTTACTTCATCAAAGTTTTGCATGTGGAAGAAGAGGAGAATTGGGGAATACCTGAGCTGTCACTGAGCACTTCCTCACCATACAAGTAAGAGATACAGAGATGGGCTGGGTAACAACAGTGATACCATAAAGAAAAGCTCCTTCTTCACTGTGACTTATACAAGTAGAAAGCATGTTGTTTGTGTCTTCAAAGAAAAGCATTAGAGTTAGTTATGTCTAGTTTAAAGATTCTTGGCCGGGCGCGGTGGCTCAAGCCTGTAATCCCAGCACTTTGGGAGGCCGGATCACGAGGTCAGGAGATCAAGACCATCCTGGCTAACACGGTGAAACCCCATCTCTACTAAAAAATACAAAAAAAACTAGCCGGGCGAGGTGGCGGGCGCCTGTAGTCCCAGCTACTCCGGTGGCTGAGGCAGGAGAATGGCATAAACCCGGGAGGCGGAGCTTGCAGTGAGCTGAGATCCGGCCACTGCACTCCAGCCTGGGCGACAGAAAAAAAAAAAAAAAAAAAAAAGATTCTAACAAGTGCTAACTCACTTCTGTGTCAAGATTCTGAAGTTTGATAATTGACTCTGTTTCCTTGCTAATAACAACAACAAAACTTACACTTTTGCAGAGAAAGAAATAAATGTTCTTCCTTTCCTGATCTTCTCTGAAGAAGGGCTCTATATCCAAGCTAATTTTGTTTTGTTTTGTTTTATGCTTATTATCTATTTTAACATTTAGCATAACTTCTGGTTTTCACTTTAACAAGTAAAGTTTGGGATTATCCCTCCCATCTTCTCATCAATGAGAAAACTAAACAAACTGAAAATAAATCTTCTGAGATCCATGACAGAATTGAAGTCACAGAGCAAAGTGCTGTCCTGAAAACAGACAGATAAAGACAGATAACCGCAATTTATTCTCAATTCTAGGAACTAAAGCCCAGGTTTAGAAGACCACAGATGAAGGCAGTATTTTTAGGAACATGTAATAATTCATGAATTGTTGAGGCTCAGTGCAGACAAGCTTGAGAGTTTAAAGTTCTTGGGTGCTCAGTCTCATGGGGTCTTTACACTTTTGTGTTTTTCCTCCAGGATCCCCACCAAGTTCTCACTGCGAATGCTGTGAATAGTCTCTTCATGCTCCTAGCAGAAGGTGGAGAAAAGTCCAGAACATTCTGGTCCTCCCTCCCTCAAGGGAAATTACAAGGGCTTAACTGAAGTGAGGTAAGAGAAACATTCAGCCCAACCCCTCTAGCATTCCTGTTTCACCTAAGTGGAGGGGATGGGGGAATGGATGCTGAGAAGCACTTTCGAAGGTCATATCCCAGGGCAAAGGCTCACTAGAAGATAGTGACCTCATCAAAGGACTATAGAATGTTTCTCTTTCCCCCCATACATTAAAACCACTGCGACTGCAGGAGAAAATACAGAAGGCCCGGGGCCAGAACAATGCTAAGGAACTGAGGCCAAGCGCTTTGGAGAAAAGGCGACAAGAGAAGAAGCGGACCGGAAGAAGCAGCGAAGGAACTGCGGCAAAAGGGAATACAGAAAAGGCCAAAATGAGAGGGCGAGGGCCAGGGCGGCGACCAAGCCCACCCCCGAGGTGGCCTGCCAGGAGCCGCAAGAGCCGTCGGGGCTGGTAGTCCACAAGGTGGAAGTGAGTGACCACGAGTCGGCCAGCAAGCCGCAAAGAGGAGGAAGAGGCAGGAGGTGAAGGGGAGCGTTGCGCAGCCGAAAGGGAGGAAGCCCGGACGCTGCTGAACTCCGGGGACGAGACCAGGGGAAGGCGCGAGAGCTGTAGGCCAACGTGAAGCGGAAGCGGAGAGACCTGCCGAACCAGGCGGACGGCGCAACAATCCGGAACCCCCAGCGCCTCCCATAGAAGCCTGAGGCGCAAGGAGAAGTGCTGGAGCGGTGGCGGCGGCGCCAGCGGGGGCAGCGCTGGGCGGACAAGGTGAAGAAGCAGCGGCGCCAGAACCTGCGCAGGAAGAAGGCGGCCAGCGTCCCGCGCTCCCTGCACGGGACCCGCAAGGTGCGTGCGATCCCGTCTAGGACCCGGAGCGCGCCGGCCTCGTGGGGGCGCCTGAGGGCTCCTCCCTTCCCCCACCTCAGGTCCAGCGTGTCCCTGGTCTGGGCCTTTCCCACCCGGGGCTGCCGTCTCTGTCCTGAGAGTCTCGAGGCGCCCCTCCGAGTCCTTGTGTGATGCCGGCTCCTCCTGCAACCTCTGTGGAACTCGGCTTCTCCACGTGGAAGGGACACAGTCTTGTTCATCTGAGTCCTTGAACGCAGGGCGCAGATCTTTCAGACCCCAGGGAAAGAATGAACCAGATCCAGCCCTCCAGTCTTCTCGGTGAGGCCTGAGAGCTTCCCAGAGGTTTGCAGACTCAGGGAAGAGGAACGTTGGTAGGGGTGGATGAGAGGAGTTTGTGGTGAGAAAGTCGCGGGCCTTCTTCCCCTGCCTGTGTTCACAGGGGCCACCGGACAGGAAGAGAATGTCTTTTGCCGATTATCCGCATTAGTCCAAAACTCACTGGAAGGGAGGACAACCCCTGGGGTGCATGCGCACCTGGCACTCGGGAGAAGCTGGAGCCCATCCAGGCACCGTGTGTCCGGGACAGAACACCATGGCCTTCTCTACTCTCTTGGCTTCTGCCTGTTTGAGTCTCTTTCTTTTCTCTTTCTTAGTAGCCCGGGGAAGCATTTTACAGCTCAGAATTCAAAGAGTGGAAGGGAGCTGTACCTTTCCAGATCATGGATGTGAGTTGGGCCACATGGCCACCTCTGAACCAGTTGCTGGCTCCAATTGTGGGGCAGTGACTGACATGCCTCGCTACCCTCCTGGAGTCAGGGAGGAAAAGTTTCCTGGCAGAGGGTGGAGCTGGGTGGGGGTAGAGGGAGCTTTGCTGTTACCTAATGAGAGGGGTAGGGGTGAGAAGAGATAGCAGATGTCAGATGGCTTCTGTCCCAGGTGAGTGCTTTGCTGCAGAAGTGGTCCAGTGTGGCTGGTGTTTTCTAAGTGTCTTGGAGTGAGGAAATCACTGTTATTGAGCAGTTGTTCAGACATGAGGCCCCTCACTCCCTAAATATTTAATAAAATGGGTAATTTTCCCATGGTACACAATTTAAAACAGACTTCGAATTGATAATGTAGCATGCTAGATGTTCTCAGAAGCCTGTCTGGTGTGGCTGAACTGAAAATGCTTGATAGATTCGTTATTTTTTTAACAAATGACTGGGTTGGTGGGAAATGAGATGGCTGGGCTCAGATTTTCCCAGCTTGGTGAAAGAGAACAGTCTTAGAGATTTGGAAAACCTGTGGCAGCCATGGAGATGCACCTCTTGATCTTTTTTGAGAAATAACTGGCTGTTCAGCTGCAAGGAGTGTAGACTGTTGACAGTCCAGACCATTGCCTTCTGCATCTGCCTCAGCCATTGCGCTAAGGACATGCACTGCTTGGGTGGCCTCCAGCCAGTGACTAAGCACTTCTGTAATAGGCAGACTGCTCCAGGGTTCCCTGTGAGTTATTTGAGACTGTCCATTCTGCATCATGTTGTGAGGCTCTCCCGGTACCATTCTGCTTCCTGCCCTTGTCTTTCACAGGTCTTAGCCCTTGATAGCCTTTTTACACTCCTCACTTAGTCTCTGAATCTGTTTGCTGGAGGAATGAAAGTGACACAGCTTTCAGCAACTTCCAAGTAAGTTGTTGGAAACAACACACACCCTGGGGTATCTACACGTCACTGTAGATCATAAAAACAGGAAGACAGATTGACAGCTGATTTCTCAACAGCAACAATGAAAGCTGGAAAAATGAAAACTGCTGAGGAAACGAGAGGTCTAGAATTCACTACCCCTGTAAATATTTTTCACTTTGAGTGTCAATTGTTAACTATTTTTGCTTGCTGAAAAAAATCCCTTCATGTCATGCTATCTCTTAAGAAAATGAAACTTAAGAAGGAAGATGATTTTACAAAGAAATGGTAAGCACAGACAAGGGGGATGTTTTGAATCTAAACATGCCCATTACATGAAACTGGTCTTCATTTTGGTAGGCAGCAGCCATCAGTGGCTATTTAAATTAAATAAACTTGGCCGGGCACAGTGGCTCATGCCTGTAATCTCAACACTTTGGGAGGCCAAGGCAGGGAGATCAACTTGAAGTTGGGAGTTTGAGACCAGCCTGGCAAACGTGGTAAAACCCATCTCCACTAAATGTGCAAAATACAGCCGGCCACCTGTAATCACAGCTACTGGGGGGGCTGAGGCAGGAGAATCACAAACCTGGGAGGCAGAGGTTGCAGTGAGCCAAGATCATACCACTGCACTCCAGCCACAGCAAGAAAGCAAATAAATTATCAATAAATTGAATTAATTAAATTGAGTATTCAGTTCCTGGGTTGTATTAGCCACATTTTAAGTGTTCAGTGGCCCTAGTGATTAACACACTGGATAGCACAGATACCGAACATTTATATATCAAAGAAGGTTATTGGTCAATGCTGGTGTAAAACAGCGTTTTGTAATTTGTAGGCTTACAAATCAAGGTATATCTAGAATATTGGACAATATGATATCTAAGTTATAGAAGTGGCTGGAATTGAATTATTCTCAGGTTTTTATATGTAAGGAGTAAAAATTAGAATTAAATATGCATATTCTAAGATAACCACCAAAAGAGAGAAACGGTATAAACTAAAAGGGAAACACATGGAATGAGGTGGAAAGATCTCAATCCAGCAGGAGGGCAGAGAGAAAGAATAAAACCTAGGAACTAAGTGAGGTGAATGGAAAATACAAACTATGATGGAAGAATTAAATCCAAATCTATAGGCAATCAACATGAATGCAAATTGATTAAACTCAGATGAATTTTGGTGGCATGTGAATAATAATAAACCTGTACATAAAAGTGTTTTGACTCTCCAAAGAGACAAGGATTGTAATGACCGCACCCCCAAAATTATAAAAACGAATCACCCTGAGATTATAAAATCTTTCTACAGCTTCCAAATAAGTCATAAACTCCAATATCACCACCTTCAGCTGGATGATTAGATATCATTTGAGAGATTCCCTCCGTTAAAAGGAGGTCTTGCTCTTTTCTGGTTAGTGCCGCGTGAGAAGCCATGAGCAACGGAGTCTCTGGCGACACTGTACCAGGCAGTGCAGAAAGTCCTGCACAGGAAGCAGCACAAGCATCTTTGGAGTTGCAGATCACCTTGAAGAACTGTGACCCCCAGAAGGACAAATTGCTTCTCAGGCTTAAGTCCACTCCCCACCCCAAGTTCTCGCTGTGTTCCCTGGGGGACCAGCAGCACTGTGATGAGGCCAAGGCCATGGGTTTCCCCGACATGAACATCAAGATGATGAAAAAACTCAATGAGAATAAACTGGTCAAAAAGCTGGCCAAGAAGTATGATGCATTTTTGGCTTCAGAGTCTCTGATCAAGCAGATCCCACGAATCCTCGGCCCAAGCCTAAATAAAGGAGGAGAGTTCCCTTCTCTGCTCACACACAACGAAAACATGGTGGCCAAAGGGGATGAGGCCAAGCCCACAATCAAGTTCCATATGAAGAAAGTGTTATGTCTGGCTGTGGCTGTTGGCCATGTGAAGATGACAGACGATGAGTTTGTCTAAAACATTCACCTGGCTGTCAACTTCCTGGTGTCATTGCTCAAGAAAAACTGGAAGAATGTCTGGGCCTTATATATCAAAAGCACTGTGGGCAAGCCCCAGCACCTATATTAAGGCACATTAGAATGAACTCTAATGCTACCAGAAAAAAAAAAAAAAAAAAAAACTTTATCAAATCCCATTAACTAATCTTTGTGCTGTTAAATTACGAGGCTTTGACCCCTGGGTACACCTGTCTCATCTAAAAGGGAGCACTTGACTTCTATTGAATCTTAAATATCAACCCTGGTATCTGGCACTAAATTCAAGTTAACCAAAGCCTCATCTTCAGACATGGGAGAAGATGACCGTCAAAATAAACTGCTTTCATATGACACTGGGCCAGTTAAATTGTAACTATTGATTTAGTAATTTTTCCTCCATCTGAATTAATATACTTTGTTTTATGCCTTAATGCTAGATAATTTTGAATTGTCCAGATACCTATGAGTGTCCTTTTCCTTTCATTGTCAGAGCTAGGCAGCACTTATGTCCTTTTTGTTTAAAACATTGCTAATTCTATGCATGGCTTACAAAATTGGGTAAAA